CCGCAAGGACAGTTATTTTATTTACTTTTTAAAATATTTTAAAATTGATTTTTAGAGAGAGAGGAAGGGAGAGGGAGAGAGAAACATCAATGTGAGAGCAAAACATAGATAAGCTGCCTCCTGTATACCCCCTACCGGGGATTAAGCCTGCAACCTGGGCATGTGTCCTGACAGGCAATCAAACTGGCAACCTTTCAGTGCACAGGACAACGCCCAACTAACTGAGCCACCCAGCCAGGGCTGCAAGGCCAGTTATTTTTAGAATACTAAGAAGTTATTTGCCTTGTTGGCATTCCTTTTCTCACCAGTGTATAGTGGAGTTTTCTAGAGGCTATGTGATATGTGATGTCATTGCTCTGATAGCTAACGGAGTACGTACTTGTATATTCTTGTTTTTTAGAATGGGTTTAGGGTATAAATATGTGTATTTCCAGAGATTAACTCAGTTTGTTCTCAGTACTTCGACCAGACTCTTTCTAGTAATCTCGTTATACCTGCTACATCTGTGACCTTATTATCATCTAACAATTATTGAGAAATCCTAAAATTTTCCTTGTGCTGATTAGAAACATAAAATGTACACTTTGTTTTGTAATAGTATTTTAAGTTTTCTGAATTTTATTTTTTTGAATAGGTCTTTATTGATTTCAGAGAGGAAGGGAGAGGGAGAGAGAAACATCAATGTTGAGAGAGTCATTGATCGGCTGCCTCCTGCACACACCCTACTGGGGATTGAGCCCATAACCTGGGCATGTGCCCTGACGGAATCAAACCGCAATCTCCTGGATCATAGGTTGATGCTCCACCTCTGAGCCATGCTAGCCGGTCAAGGTTTCTAAATTTTAAAACTTTGTCTAAAATTGCTATTACTTTGGAATATAATATTTATTCTAATATTTGGAATATAGTATTTATTCTAATATTTTATAATACATATTGGAGAGTTCCCTGACTCCTAGAAGGGAGGAATCTGCTCCAAAGAAGCTGGGCGACACAGCTTGGTGCTGGGACTAGACAAACACGAGAGAAGATGGGGACCCTGGCTGAGCTCCCATCTATGGAGGGACCAAAGACCAATGAGTGTCACAGAGGTGACCTCCAATGATGAGGCAGGTGAGACACCAAGAGGGTCTGCCCTTGTTGTGGGGGGAGGTAGGCAAGGACTGCCTCAGAAAGTGTCACAGAGCCACTTTTATCTGGAGGACTAATATAGTAATCAAGCAAAAAGATCAAGGGAGACTCTCCTGTGTGGAAGGCACAGCACATGAAGTGCTAGAAGGCGCCAGAAGGCCAGGTGTGTATGTAGCATGGAAGGAAGAGCACCAAGTGAGAGGCAGGAGAGCCAGGCCTTGGGGCACTGGGGGCCACATCAGGGATTTTTGTTCTCACCCAAGGAGCAATTCAGGGGTAGGGAAGGTGGGAATAGTGGGAGATTCCACCTATGATTCCAAAAGATGGCTCTGCCCTGTGTGGGGAATGGGGGTGGGGGGTGGGAAGAGCCTTTAGGACACAGCTGCTGCAGTGAGGCAGCTGTGCTAGTTTGCCAGCGGCTCTGGCAATAAACTGATGAACTTGGCCATGGATTACAAGGCATGAAGGGAGTGTCACCATCACCTCCAGGCCCAGTTCTGGGCATCAGGATGGAGAACACTCAGCCTTTGAAGGGAAGTGTGGAGCAGGAGACAGTGGGGTAAAGTTCAGTTCAGTCTGGACTCATGAAGTTTGAGGTCTGTGTCAAACACTTGGATGTCCTCCTGTGAACAGCTGGGTTCCTAAGTCTGCAGCTCAGGGGGTACTTGTGGGCTGGAGATAGGTTTGTAAGTCATTCATTGATCGACAGTGACAGATCACAGGAGGAGCAGGAAATAGAGGGAGAAGAGGTCTAGACAAGCTCGAGGCATGCCAACAGCAGCCCTAGTTTGGAAGGAGAGACAGGCTGGATCAAGGAGGCAGGGTAGAGGAAAGCCCCTGCAAGTTCCATGGAGTGTTTCCCAGAGAACTTGACAGGAGTGTGGAGCAGTACAGAGAAAGGACATCAGATACCATGGTGTGTTATGCAGATGTTGCTGATGACTCTAGTTGCTTGGGTGAAGTATCTGGGGTGACAATGAGACTACAGAGGGCTGAGAAGTGAGTGGGAAGGGAAATCTGATTTTCTTTGTGAAGTGTGTGGTGTGTTGTGCACTGAGAATTTTGGGGTGGGGGGCATTGAAAGTCTGAGGAACATCTACAAAGTTTTTACAATGGGTTGAATTGTGCAAATTCCAAAAAAAGCTATGTTAAAGTCCTAACCACTAGTACCTGTGATATGACTTTATTTGAAAATAGGGTTTTTGCAGATGATCAAGTTAAGAGGAGATCATTAGAATGGGCCTTAATCCATTATGACTGTGTCCTTAATAGAAGAGGAGACACAGAGGAAATGGCCCTGTGATGATGAGGAAGAGATTGGAGTGGTGCAGGTACAAACCAAGAAACACCAAGGACTGCTGGCAACCAGAAGCAAAGATAAACCATGCAACAGAGCCTCTCTTGAAGCCTTTAGAGAGAGCAAGCCCCTGCCAGCCCTTATTTCAGATTTTTGGCCTCCAGAATGAGGAAAGAATATATTTCTGTTGTTTTAAGCCACTCAGTCTGCGGTCATTTGTTATGGCAGCTACAGGAAACTAATAGTTTGTTTATTTTTTTTTAACAGATTTAAAAAATATATATTATCTTTATTGATTTCAGAGAGAGGAAGGGAGGAGAGAGAAACATGAATAATGAGAGAGTCATCGATCGGCTGCTTCCCGCATGACCCCTACTGAGAATTAAGCCCGAAACCCAAGCATGTGCCCTGATGGGGAATCCAACCTTGATCTCCTAGATCACAGGTCGATGCTCAACCCCTGAGCCATGCCAGCTGGGCAGGAAACTAATAGTTTTAAATGGCTAAGGTGAGCCGACAGGAGACTGGATCAGGATGGAGAAACAATGCTGAGGGGCCATTTCTGGTAGGTGATTGTGAAGTGACTGTTGATTCTATCTTACGTATTCCTAAATATGTCCCCAAACCTAAATTGCAGAGGTAAAAGAATTAGCCACATAATAGGGCTGGGAGTTAAGACCTCATTGAAAACTCACACTCACAAACACTACACACACGCACATTATACCCCCCCCCACACTCCCTATCCCACCCATCTACACCCCAAACTGTAATCCATACACCCTTACCCCCCATCACAAACACACACACCCACACACACCAAAAAAGAGACGAGTCAGAAGCTACTGAAGTCATAGTCATTGCTTCCTAGTACTTACTTGTTCCAGGTATATATCCACACTGCCTCTCGAGGCCGTGCCAATGGAGGCGACTGCCAGGAATGGGTGAACAGGGTGCCAGCTGATGAGGGAAGGAGACCCAGCTGAGTCTGGGGCTTCTATTCGGTAGTCAAAATAGAGAGCCATGATGAAACTCCGACCTATTCGGGGTTGAAACCTGCAGCGGAAAAAACAACCAAGTCCTGTGGTTTTGAACAAACAGCTGTATATAGAATTAGGAAAGAAAAGCATCACAAACCTACACCCATAAGGCATTCAGTGACTTATAAAAGCCCCTTCACACCGATTCGGGCAATTTTATGTGGAAGAGATCTCTAACAACAACAAAAAATATAATTAGAAGCAAGGGATTGGACCTGAAATGATCCGGAGTGTGAAGGAAAACAGTAAAACTTCTAGCCATCAAATAGCAAAGAAAAGCTCTGCCACCTGGACTACATGTGCAATCTTTGATCATTTTTATTTCAATCACAAGAAAGACAATTTATATTTGTATAAATGTAGAAAAATTTTAGAAAAATTTTCAAATCAAAGAAAAGTAAGCTCCTTCATAAAAGAAAAATGTATAGAAAAACCTAGTACTCAATTTCTGATAAACTTGAAAACCAAGGCTGTCTTCACCTCTGACTCTCAGGAGGCAGGAGGCAAAAGGATTCCTTTGTTAGGGTCAAGAAAACAAACCTACAAGTTGAACTTCATTAGTTAAAGGAATTTTAACTTTTCTT